AAATTCCCCGCAAATTTCCTCAGTGCTGGTCATTCTTGTTCCCAAGAGTTGGAGGCTTGGGTGGCCTTGCTGAATTCTGAGGGATTTCTCATGAAAGTGAGGCCTATGGTCAAGCATTTTGCTGAAGGCACTGTATTGTAAGCTATATATAGCAAGCTATTATATATATCACAAGCTATACATCACTTAAAAGAGAGAGTGCAGTCTAGTGACCCTAGCACAGTAGTCCTCGAAAGGTTCACTGTCTGCCTGGTGCTCCTATTCTAAAAGCTGGTTTCCTTAGTTTTTTAGTCTTTTCTTCTTTGCATTGCATTGGAGAAGTATATGGGAGCCTTGCTTCTCCAATAATGCCAACAAAAAATATGTTTTCAATAGAAATGTATCCAACTGTATATCTAAAACTCATAATGTTCTACAGTTTCATGCTTTTAAGAAGGACAATTTTTTATGAAAATGTGTTTAGCTGAAAGATTTTAACTTGCTCTAATGCAGAGTAAGATCAGCATTTAAAATACAGTAGAAGCATTTTGAGAATGTCATTCTTTACTAAGTCCGGAGGAGCTCAGGGTAATCCTGATTGCTTCGTTTCTGTGGAGCTTTATGTGACTGGTTGGATGTGAACTAAGCTGATGTTATAAACTCTCCTGTTTCTACAAATGTTGATTTGTTAATGTGAATTGCTGTGTTGATTTTATTGCATATGCACTCAGAGATTTTACAGTTCCCTAAGTCAGAATTAAATTGGGACAGATTAAACAAGTAAAAGGAAAGTCAGAAACATGTTTGTTATGTTGAACAGCTGTGCTTCAAAAGGCGTAATGTTGATTGTGCCCGTTCAGTTTCCAAGCTGGAAAACACTGTGGAGAAACTCTCCTGTGGCCCTGGCTGTTCAGACTCTGGTGCCTGGCTGCTGCTACAGAGTGTGTAAATCTTGAGTAGCTCAGTAAGTGGTTTGCAGTTCAAGAAAATGGAGATTCTAGAGACCTCTCCTTCCTCTGTAGCATAAAGCCAGACAAACTAAAGTGCATGTGAAAAGGTTAAATTGATGGGAGGTTGAGATTTCCCTTAAGTACAGTGCCAAGAGTTCCGGCAAGCATTTAATGGGTCTATCTACAACTAAAGATTTTACTTCTTCGTGATGAAAACCAAAAATTGCTCTATCTCCACTGGTTTAGATTCAGATATCAATTTAATTATACTGCTGCAAGCTATTTCCCTGATGAAGTGAGAAAATCTACCTGTGGCAAATCTGTGTCTTTGTAGTGGTATAACTGTCCAGGGAGCCAGGCTTTTACTTGCAAATATCAGCGGTGTGTTTTATTTTGGTAAAGACAAATGAACTCATACTCGGCTCAATTAACTGCTGAGGTAAAACACATGAGTGCAGCCCGGCTGTCAGCAGCGCTGAGGAGGTGCCGCCCGCTTGGCTGCATTTGCACACGCTTGTGGAGTACCTTTGGCATTGTGAATTACATCCCTTGCTCCACCGCTCGTGTTGCCCTTTATTGTTCAGATTTTTGAACAAATAACCATTCCAGTCCCACAACAGGCGTGGGGTCCCTTGCTGGGATTTACAGCCCATGGCAGGCTGTCCTGGCGATTTGCAGAGCAGCTCAGCACAGGGTTCACCAGCTCACACAGCCTCAGGTTGCCAGGCACTGCTAGGAGCTGTGGATTTGATCTCAGGAAGGTAAAACAAGTCCCCAGGTCAGTGTGAGATCCCCCCGGGACATGCTGCTGTGAGGTCTCAGCAGCAGGCAGTAGTGCTGAGGCTGGACAAAAGGTGAGCTCCAAAGGCAGGTGAACAACCACCTTAACTGAGTGCCAGTGTCTGGGAGCTCTGGGGCTACCTTGGGCCTACTGCTTTAATGTGATTCAGGGGAAGACCTGATGTGCTTCCTTTTGTGGCCCCAGGCTTTGCTGAGCACCAGCCAGAAAGTCAGCTTGAGGGTGGAGGTGCAGGGTCCTTTCCTTTCTGTTGACAAGTGCAAGGGAGCAAGGCAGCCTAATGTCCTGAAATAAAAATGATGCACTCACAGTTGAAATGCCCCCTGTCCTGCTAAAGCGATGCTGAGCACTGCAAATCACTGCAGTCAGTACACAGGAAAAAGCTACGGTAGCATCCTCTCCTCTGGCACGGTGGAGTGGTTTTTGGCTCCAGCTAGCTTGGTGTTTGGTGGTTTTGCATGGCTGCTGTAGTTTCCTTTCTCCTGCTTCTCCATGCTGTTGCGTTGCTGCTGTGGTGCATGCTGCAGCACAGGACGGATGAGTGAGGCCAATGCGGGCAGAGCCTTCACCAGCAACGCAAAATAATTTGCAGTGTTTCTTAAGGAAAAGTACGATCATAGAACAGATCCTCCTGGAAGCTGTGTTGAAACATATGAAAGTCAGTGACGTGATTAGAGACAAGTAACATGGCTTCACCAAGGGCAAATCAAGCCTGACTAATCTAGTGGCCTTCTATGATGGAGCGACTGCATCAGTGGATGAGGAAAGAGCTATGAATGTCATCTACTGAGACTTCTGATGTGGATCCCCACAACCTCTTTGCCTGTAAATTGAAAAAATATGGGTTTGATGGATGGACTGTTAGATGGATAAGGAATAGGTAATGGTTTTAAACTAAGAGTAGATTTAGATGGGATATAAGGAGGAATTTTTTTATTATGAGGGTGGTAAGACACTGGCACAGGTTGACCAGAGAAGTTGTGGATGCCCCATCATTGGAAATGTTCAAGGCCAGGTTGGATGGGGCTTTGAGCCACCTGGTCTAGTGGGAGGTGATCCTGCCCATGGCAGGGGGTTTGAACTAGATGATCTTAAAAGGTCTCATCCAACCCAAACCATTCAATGAGTTGAATTACTGTATGTTTTGTTGGCCATATGTAAAGTGTCATACAGCACCTCCCTGCCTTTCTGTCTTCTGGAAAGTGTTACCCATTTCTGTAGACATTTAGCTCCTAAGGCACTACGCTGCACCTCTGCCAGAGAAATAACATGCCTGGGGCTGAGAGCAAACCCTCCTGCCCCTGGGAGCTGCCCCTGAGGAATGGCCCCTCTCCTGTGCTCCTGAGCTGCCTCCATGGATTTTTAATTTACCAGAGAAGACACAGCCTTAGGGTATGTCTATGCTGTGCAGATAAAAGTCATCTCGAGGCCAGGGTGAGCTCAGCACAGGTTTTCCTAGTGCCAGCTGCACGAAGCTTGGCTGAGATCTTCCTTCTGAGGATGCTGAGCGTGGACCAGGGTCTGTGCTGCTGGGCAGGTTAGCAGCGTGCATGCGTTCAGCAATGAGTTTATCCCTGGTCTTTGTACCATTTTTCTACCTCTCTGTGCCACAGTGGATGCATGGGGCAAAGCACAAGAGCTGGGATAGGAGTGGGGGGCTGCATCTGGGGGGCTGCAGAGCCCTGTATGCTTTCCCTCTAGTTTGGATAGAAGATACGTCTGAATTGCTCGCTTTCCTTGTTGTCATGTGGCTTGATGGGGACAAGTGTGTTAGAGCAGTACTGTTAGCTTTTAGGACAGGGGTTTAAAATTGCCTTCGCTTTTCATCTTGTTCTGCTGCAATTGAAGGCAATGACAGGTTGTTATCAGTAGAATTAGGCCAATGCTGAGAGCTTTTGAAACTCTCCCTTTGAGAAGCCATGTAGGTGCTGAAGACAATGGTAATCATATTTATTATGTATTTATAGAGCACAAAATTGTCTGTCTGAAAAATAGCATTCATCAATCTTTGAGACCAGATGGGGTAAATACATCTGTTTGTTAGGTCTCCTGCCTTGTGTAGGGTACAGAAATAAAAGCAACGGTAGCTACAGCAAGCCTAATAGCTTGTGGTTAAGCTAAAGTACGACTTTTAGAAGGTGCCTGACTGCAGGCTTCAGGTGGGGTCCAGCAGCCAGCTTGTTTTCCAGCCAAACTGAGCTCTAACACAGATGTCCCATGTGGTCTGGGCTGAGTCTCTTAGACAAGCGTGGTGTAGAAATTTCACAGCTTTGGCATCTGGGCTGAGGAGTGGCTCCGCATGGGGCCGCTCACCCTGGCCGAGACTCTAAGGCTCCCTGGGCAGTGGATGGAGGGATAGAGATGGGTCTGGTGCAGATAAGCTTTAAGCTGTTCCTTGCCTTGATTGCCCCCTTCTGAAACAGGGGCAGTCGCCCTTCTGGAGCTCACAGAGCTGAAACACAGGACAGAAGAGAGGTACTCCAGTCCCACCTGGCCACCAGCCACAGAGTTGCCTTCACTGCTAAGAAATCCTCCTCAGTTATCCTCCAGCCATTGCAAATTGTGAGTCAGGTGGATTAAAGAGCCGCCCGCTGTCAGAAAGCCCCTGAGCAGGTCCACCGCCAGCTCGCTCCTTATCCTTTCCCTGATACGAGCCTGGTGGGTGATGGATGTCATGAGGCGGGGAGTGACACAGTGAGGTCTCATGCTGGAAGATGCCTTTCGTGATTCACCAGGATTGACCAGGGCTGTGCCTTGAGCAGCTCCATGGCTGCCCTTCCCTTTGCTGCTTGCTAAAGCCGCTCGGGACGCTGCTTTGCTCACATCACTCCTTTCACCTCCCAATTCAGCCAATCAGCCGGCCTTGCTCCAGGCAGGGAGCGGCGTTGGAAGGGTGAGTAATGCATCCCTTGTGTTTCCTTCAAACCCGCCAGCATACGCTTCACAGCAGGAGTTTGTGACAAGGAGGGAGGCAGGGAGAGGCTGGTTGCTGCAGAAATATTAGCTGTGCACCTAGGCAAAAATGCCGTTTTCGAGTCAATGCTTCCTTTATCCGTTCATGCCAGATGTATACCTCACTGTCAGGAGCAGGCAAGGAGACAATTTAGCCACTTCCTGCTGCAATTGTTGGTATTTAGGAGAGACTAAGGACCAGATTCACAACCGTGGAGTTATAACCCTATTAATTAACCACACAGTCATTAGGTGAAAGTTCCTGCACGCGTTTTGAGGGCATGCAGCTCTAACGCCTTCCCCCGTGTTCTTCCCCGCAGCCGACAATGCCAGCCCTTCCCGCCACCGCCGGCCCAGCAGCACAGCCCCATGTCCTCGCAGGCCAGTGCTGGCCCTCTGCTCTCAGGCACCTTGCCCCCGCTGCCGGCCCCCACCGCGGCCCAGCCGCCCACACCGACACCGCTGGGCCAGCAGCTGACACCCGACGCCTTCGCCATCGTGGAGCGGGCGCAGCAGATGGTGGAGATGCTCTCTGAGGAGAACCATGTGCTGCGGCAGGAGCTGGAGGGGTACTACGAGAAGGCAGACAAGCTGCAGAAGGTATGTGGAGGGGTAGATGGGGCCTGGACAGGGCAACCATCTTGGTGCTTCTGCATCTGTGTCACCCAGGCTGCTGTTCATAGTCATGTCACTGCAATAGGGATGCACCAGTGACCATCTATCCACTGTCTCTCCATGGTGGTCTCCCAGAAGTGAAATCCTGTACCCTAAAGCCCCTGAGGTCCCCTTCCTCTAGGGCAAAATGGGGCATCTCATCACATGTCCCTCAGTTGGGATTTTCGCTTTCCATGCTGGCCTCACTGGAGCTTTCTCTGAAAGTCTCCCATGGGCAGATCTGCTCCTAGTGCAGCTGGGTCCTGTGCCATCTGCACGAGTGGTAAAGCTGAGTGTGAGAAGCATTTGAAGACCACAGCCACATCTGTTCTGAGCGGTCTTGTCCACCACCATACACCTGTGTGGCACTCCACACTGGAAGTGTCACAGCTGTCAGTGGTGTCGCCAGTTTTTGTTCCATGCATGAGTTTTGTCATCTCAGAGGCTTTCAGTGACTGCTCAGTGGGTTTCTAAGAACTGATGTTAGACACCCACCTTTGAACATGTTGGTTCAAAATGCACTGCCCCCTTACCTGAAAGAACCATTTGGTAAAGGTTTTGTTCAAAAACCCTTTTTCAAAGAGATCCTGCGCCCTCTTTTCTGTATGCAAGCTCGCATTCAGAGGAGGGTGATGTCTTGCACACTGCCTGGGGTGACAAGATGAAGAGTCAAATCAAACAAAGTAGAAGTTGCTTAAAAATGAGAGCTCACTGAAGGCAATGCAGAGATGCTCCTCAGATCTGCTGGCTTTGAGTCCCAAGGGCCCAGACCAAATGAGTTATTTAGGATTCTGCACTGCTATTTCATTTATGTCTTCCCACCTCTTATGCACAAATGGGCTTAGGCTGCAAGTCTTTTCTCTTTGAATTTGGGAGTCTAAATAGGAGCTCAGTTATTTTCTCTGCTCTGTGGGGTTAGGGTGTTCTTGGAGACACCCTTCACAGGAGGAGAGGCAGCTTTGAGAGTACATGCCTCAGCCTCAGCTTTGGGAAAAATCTGTGACAATCTGTTCAAACAGGTTAGAAAAAAAAGCTGTTGTTTTGGAGCTGCTGTCATCTTTGCAGCCTCCTCCTCTGCAACCAGATGAGTTGAGTTTATTCACAGAATTTCCTAAACTTAGTTGAGAAATTTTTGCAGCAACATTGGCTGTTTGTGAAGACATCTGTGAAGATTTTAACACTGACTTCTCTGTAGCATTTGTGGGCAAAAATAAATATTCTAGCTATTTTATGAAAGCTGCATTGTTCAGTAAAAGGTATTTGAGTGTAATGCCCTAAAAATATTCCAATTTCCTTTTACACTCATGGAAACGGCTCTCTCTTTATCTTGGACGCCCTGCAAGTCGATTGCATCAGACACTGACAGAAAGGTATTCAAGCAGGGGCTGAAGTCTTACTTCAATCAATGGAGTGTGGACTTGAATCCCATTGACTTTGGGGGAATGTAAGTGGAGTATTAAAGTGAAACACATGCTCAAGTGCATTCTTTCTTCAGGAAAATGTCCTGACCCAAAGCCTTAACACACAGTATCCTTCTCACGCTGTTTTTTCTGTGTTGGAATTCAAGGACCAGGCAGGTCCTCCTCTGTTCCCACAGTTTCAGCTGGACATCACTTCTGAAAACAAGATACTGAGTTAAATGACATACTTTTGGTGTGAGAACTCTTCCCTCTTCTTAGAAGTGGCAGGGTCACGAGGAGTGCTTCTTGTTTGTGCATAACAAGCTTGTTCTAGGTAGGGCCACCCTCCCATCACTTTTATTCATTACAGAATAGGAGAAGAAATTAGAGAAAATCAGCCTGATGTGGAGGGCTCCCTAGGAATTTGTACACACAGATCGGCCCTGAGGGTTGTCAAATTCTCAGTCATGTCTGAACAGACTTTTTGCAGGTACAGGGTGGTGATTAATCTCTGTGCTGTTTGACGAGTTGCATGGTTTTCTTACCTAAAAAGAGTTGGATGGAAAAGCAGTTGTACACATTTTATTTTGAGCATTTTTGCAAAAGCAAAGCATTACTTTATCATTTTTTTTCCTGTTTTTTTTTGTTGGGCGGTGTTACCTTGCAGAATTTTAATTGCCAGGCTGGGCTGGCTCTGCCCCATGCCATGTGTGTGGGTTGTCTGAGTGGGTCAGCTCTGGGAGCCACCAGGCAGAGAAGCAGCTGAACTGTTTTTTCCATTCCATAGAAGAAGGGAAAGGAAATCCCAGAGCTGCTGAGAAACGCCAACACAATTTATGGCTGTTCTGCTGCTCTCCTTTAATTTTGTTCAGTGCCGAGGGAGGTCCTCTCTTTTTCTGCAGCCAGTCGTTGCTTCTGGGACTGGAGAAAACCTGTGTGGTGATGTGTTTTGGGAAATAATAGCAAATAATAGGCAGAGCAGAGCCCTTGTGGTAACCAGCAGCGCTGGGCAGGACTGTTGGGCTGTGGAAATGCACTGCTGTGTTGGCAAATCTGCTTTGCTGTGGTAGGAGTTCTCTGGAGCAGGCGTCTCCTCCTGCAGGCTCACCCGGGAGAGGGGAGGCGCAGGAACCGGCAGGTGTCAGGGCGCACAACTGAGCGTGGTGTCTGGTTGGGATCATGCAGTTAAGGATTCAGGAAAGTGCTTTAAAAATCATTTTTGCTAAGCCAAACCTTCCTTTAAAGGAAAGAGAAGCTCAATCTGCTTAAATGGTCAAGGAGAGCAATGTGAGGTAACCTGAATGTAGCCTCTAACTGAAACAGATTTTTGATTGTAGGGAATAGAATAGAATAGAATAGAATAGAATAGAATAGAATAGAATAGAATATTTCAGTTGGGAGCAACCTACAATGATCTGCTCCAACTGCCTGACCATTTCAGGGCTGTCCAAAAGTTAAAGCACGTATTTAAGGGCATTGTCCAAACGCCTCTTAAACACTGACAGGCTTGGGGCATTGACCACCTGTCTAGGAAACCTTTTCCAGTGCTTGATCACCCTCTTGGTAAAGAATTGCTTCCTGATGTCCAGTCTAAACCTCCCCTGGTGCAGTTTTGAACCATTCCCATGTTTGCTGTCACTGGGTACCAGGGAGAAGAGATCAGCACCTCCCTCTCCACGTCCCCTCCTCATTAAGCTGTAGAGAGCAGTGAGGTCACCTCTCAGCCTCCTTTTCTCCAAACTAGACAAACCCAGAGTCCTCAGCTGCTGCTCGCAGGACATGCCTTCCAGCCCTTTCACCAGCTTTGTTGCCTTCCTTTGGATGCCTTCAAGGCTCTTCACATCCTTAAATTGTGGGGCACAGAACTGCACACAGTGATCAAGGTGATTTTGTACAAGCTTGTGTTGCCATGCATATGAGGGAAAATGAAATGCATTGACTTTTTTCAAACCATGGTAAGATTCAGTTCAAATTTCGAACAGGCTTGGTTTTATTCAGTGTTCCTCCAAACATACTGTCCTTGTGCTGGGAATGTGCTTGGTGCCTGGCCATGCATCAGGAGGGTGAGGAAGAAGTTCCTGCTTTTCTAGATGTCATTAGGGAAAATGTAATGGGGCTTCCTGGAGCTCCTGCTTAAAAAAACCCAACAAAATGGAAAGTCAGAATGATCTGACTAAGTTTGTAGTTCACTGAAAAAGAAGTGTATTAGCATGGAATACAGCCAGTTCAACAGGTCATCCTCTTCTTGGAGCTGTGGAGAACTGTCAGCTGAGGGTTAATCTACATATGATGCCTTTTAATGTCATGCATGTAGGGGAGTGGTTTGCATGTGTGTGAAATATCTGCAAACTGTTAAATCCCCTCCAGTGTGAGATAGGTGATGTGATACCTAGCAAGATTCTAATCCAAGCTGCTGGGGTCGTGAGGGTCACACTGTGAGCTTTGCACATCGCCACTTGTTTCAGCTCTTGTGCCTGAGTGAGCTGAAAGCAGAAAGTGGGGAAGCTAACTGGGTTTTCCCATCATGCTTCTGCTGGGTTTTCCTTGGTGCATGGTTCCAAGGTGCCATTCATGAATTTAGTTCACAAATCTGTCTCACCTACAATTCAAGAGGCTAAAAAAGAGCCAGACTTAGGAAGGTATGTGGAAGGCTATATATATCTCTTGGTTTTACAGCCTGTGCACATTATCAAGCTTTTCTTCACAAATGCAAGGGCTAGGCACACAGGAGCAGATTCCCACATCGGTGTTGATCATTCCTGCAGCAGTGACTTCAGCAAAGCGCTTAACAAGGCATTAGCTTATTAAAAGAGCCGGATGAGATTGAACTGAACAGCAAAACTCTGCCTGGGCATGTCTTGTCAGTTTTTTGTGTTCAAGTCTTAAGATGCAAGTTCACTGCTAAAGGCTTCCTCTGCATGCTTTCCTGCACCTTGCCAGATTTCAAGGGGATGCAGTTAAGAAGACTGAAAACCCAAAAGAACTGGTTTGGTCTACTCAATTGTAGAGTAAAGGCAACTGAGCAGTTAAGTCAAGCCCAGCCCATCCTGAGCTCATCTGGGAGCTGCCAGCAGGGTGTTGTGGGGTGTTGCAGCATGGCGAGCTGCCCCTTGGGGCATTTTCAGGGGTCCAGCAATCACTTCCCACTGCAGGAGCCTCCAGCACCACTTGGGCTTTGCACCATCCTCCACCGGGGAGATTGGTCATTGCAGAGCTGGTGGCTGCTGTGGCTCTTGGCACTGGCATTGCTCCGACCCCTGCAGCCCATCAAAACATGCTGGGCAAACACTGGGATGGGATGCATTCCTACACTGGGATGGGATGCCTTCCTGCTGGGCTTTAATGGGAACTCTCTCTCCTCTCAGTTTGAAATAGAGATTCAGAGGATTTCAGAAGCTTATGAGGGCCTGGTCAAGACTACCACTAAGAGGGAGTCTCTGGACAAAGCGATGAGAAACAAACTCGAAGGAGAAATTAGGAGACTTCATGACTTCAACAGGGATCTCCGTGGTACGTTGCGCTTGTCTATGTGGGTTTTTTTCCCCCAGTTGACATGGTGTTCCACTTCTCACAAGCTCCAGAGTAGCAGGCTTTAAAGGAGTGAATTCACACATGTTTTAGATAAACTTCTTGGGAAATCAGACACTGTTTATTGGCATAAGACATAACTGCTGTCACCTCCCCAGTTGCAAAGAAATCCTCTAGCAAAATAGCTTCAGATGATGCCTTTTACTGTGACTTTGAGCTATTCAGGTCCCTTTTGGAAATAGTATTACACATCTTTGGGCAGCAAGATGCCTTCTGCAAGCTGGCTCATGCTTTTTGCAACAATGTGATTGGACTGGATGGTCTTTTAGGAGGAGCAGGGCACATGAAGGCAGGCCCTTCCCAGGGGAATCTGTCCCTTGCTGCAGAAAACTGCTCCTTTCCCAGGGCATACCCAAGGATCGGTGTCACCAGGCTGGGGGCAGCTTTACCCTACAGCATCTTGCTGCACCAGGGGCCACACGCTATGGGAAAGCCCCCATTCCCCTGCAAGGCTGTGTAATTCAGACAGCAAATGCTTTGCACATTTTGGACAGCATGAGAGGTGAACTGCTCGGACACGCCAGCCACAGATGGCAGAGGCTTTTCCCCTGGTTTCTTTAAATCTGAATAACACAGCTTCATGGAACAGGTCAAAGGCCTCATCTTTTATGTATGTGTCAGCCTCCATTTTAATGTCCTCCTTCAGAGAGTCTATTTATACTGCTCTGCTGGCATGCATCTTATTTTCTTGGTTGACCTACAATTTTATATACATATATTTATACTTAAAGTATTTCCTGTTTTTTGCAGAACGACTGGAGACAGCCAATAGGCAGCTAGCCAGCAGAGACTTCGATGGGCACGATGATAAGTCAACAGAGGGCCTTTATGTCACTCAGAGTGAGTACTGTGCTAATTTGTTTTGAAGGTGTATATACACACACGCACACACAAATATATATATATATATATATCAGTGCTATTTAATATACTTTGCTATTAAATGTTACTGTCTTTATGGCTTGGTTTTACTCAGCTATTCGTCATATACTCTTATTTAAGCTACAGACTGGATCACAGAATCACAGAATCTTAGGAGTTGAAAGGGACCTCGAAAGATCATCCAGTCCAACCCCCCTGACAGAGCAGAATCACCTAGACTAGGTCACACAGGAACGCATCCAGCTGGGTTTTAAATGTCTCCAGAGAAGGAGACTCCACAACCTCTCTGGTCAGCCTGGTCCAGTGCTCTGTCACCTTCACAGTGAAAAAGTTTTTCCTCAAGTTCAGTTTGAACCTCCTGTGCTCCAGCTTGCTCCCATTGCCCCTTGTCCTGTCATTTGCTATCACTGAGAAGAGCCTGGCTCTTTCCTCCTGACTCTCACTCTTTACAGATTTATAAACATTAATAAGGTCTCCTCTTCTCCAGGCTAAAGAGACCCAGCTCCCTCAGCTGCTCCCCATAAGGGAAATGCTTCACTCTTGGTCTTGTCTTCTCTACCTTCAACATATGCTTGCTCATACTCCCACACTTG